TCCTTTGCATGCTACCGCTGATGACACCCAGTTCCAGGCACCAGAGCCAGGGCACCTCGGTGGAAGCAGCCATCGCCTTGCCCTCTGGGTGTGCTCTCCAGCTGCTCAGCCCTGTGGGGCGCAGCTGCCTGACTGAGTCATGCCTGCCCATGGGGGAACACCGCAGGTCCTGTCGGAGTGGACTTAACTCCTGTCTCTAAGGTTTTGGCAAAGACACGTGCCCTCTGGGCATCAGCCCTTGGAGAATGAGATGAGGGTGCCCACTTGCCTTTCTCATGGGGTCCTGGTGAGGATCAAACCAGGCCCGGACGCTCTGTGAATGCTGCCCCCGAGGGAAGACCTGAGTTCCTGATGCTTCCTTCTCGGTGGAGGCATCATCAGAGTCTGCTTGACACTGTCCTCGTCCTGTCTGTTGCCCCAGCAGCAGCTGTGTGAGGGTTCAGCCCTTCCCCAGGCTTGAGCAGAAAATAGTAGGACTGGTAGCCTTGTTGACAAGTTCATCACCTCGGGGGACCCCAGGCTCCTGGTAAAAGTGACAAAATGACAATGAAGCATCCAGATCACAGAGCACAGTCTGACCTTGGGCTCAACGCGAGAACCCAGTCCTCCGCCTCAAATGCAGAGACCCGGCATGCGTCAGTGTGGGGAACACGGAACACTGACGGTACGCTGGTCACTGCACCCACGAGCTCCCCAGCTCCGACCGCTGAGACCGTGGGCTCCGGCGACCCGACACATCGACCTGCAGGGCTGAAGTGGCTCCTCCAGCCATTTCAGAAGCTCAGCCCGTCATCCACCTGCTGCTGATCACAGGCCGCACACATCCTAATTGTCACCCCCAATGCAGACGGGCTCCTGGATGAGGGTGAAAGAAAGTACCAGCAAACAGGAAGAATACAGTTGCCCTTTCTAACTAAATTTCTCTCAGAAACGTGTGATCAATGATTAAGCATCACCTTGTCACTTTAGAAAATTAAGTCCAGCCTGTAAGTGCAGGTGGCTGACCAACCTAACATCAGTTACATCCCTCAGCACTGCCTCTGGTTTTGTAATTTTTGTTGCTTAGGTTTAATCCTAAATCACTTAATTCTTGTATGTCAGAAGACAAGTTCTATTTTTCACATGAATACAAGTCATGAAAGACAGATCTCTTAGGCTGGATCTAACCTCACAGAATATTTGTATTTCTGAGAGGTTTCAGGCCCAAAATATCCTACTTTACTCTACTGAGCCAGGTCTGCTATTTCAGGGAACTTGCGTGGATCACTCAACTAAATATTCATCGACTTCGTCATTCCCTTCTTATCCACTAGGAAACTGTGTCTTTTACAAATCTCATCACTGCAACCGCAAACTTGATTTTTCCCTTTTTTGGTAAAGTATTTTGCCCTGGGGCTCTCCTATGCAAAGAAGAGAAACCATGAATTAAGGAATCGTACAAGAAAATGTTTATTCCTCCCGCTGGATCTTAATTTTTGAAGTAAACACTAAATTTTTGGGAAACAAAAACTGTTTTTCATGTAGCCATCAAGGAGGGATGATCCTGAACCACGAGTGGGGTCGGGGCTCCACGCCCACCCAACACTTTCTCCAGGGTCTGCCTTAGTTTCTGTGCAAACAGCCAGCCGCCACAGCCGATTGCGGAGCATAAACCACACAGAAGATGGGCTGAGTCAGAGCTAACTCTGCTCCACTCCAGACCGCTGCTCACTCTCGGGAGAAGAGGAGAAAACCAAGGAGAATGAACCTTCCCAAACAGCTCTAATCACAGGCTTGTGTAATGTGAATGTACCATAAAAGGGGTCTTCCTTAAAGGAAGAACTGATTTACTGCACATCAGCAGGAGGAGTAGACTTAAAACAAGGCAGTTCATCCAAGTAACGGGAGAGCAGTGAAGAGCAAAACAGCCATTCATTCAGTCACCCCTGATGCGGCAGCTCAGACCCATGAAAAGTCCTGGAGAAAACTGATCTGAGAGGACTCCTACGCACACGCACACACACCACACCTGGCCCTCTCTCTCCCCATCTGGACTGTTGTCCCCTCATCTTACACAGACTCAGGTCTGTGCCCGACCACGTGAGTCTTCACTGAAAGCTGCTGACCTCGCGGGCACTCACGCCCACTGTGTGTCTGCTCATTACAACCCTACGTACAGGACTTCCCTGGTGGCCCCGAGGTTAGGAATCTGCCTTGCAATGCAGGGGGCACAGGTTTGGTCCCTGGTCAGGGAACTAAGATCCCACATGCCACAGAGCAACTGAGTCCCCATGCCACAATTACTGAATCCTCAGCTCAGTTCAGTTCAGTCGCTCAGTCGTGTCCGACTCTGCAACCTCATGGACTGCAACACGCCAGGCCTCCCTGTCCATCACCAACTCCTAGAGTTTACTCAGACTCATGTCCATCAGGTGGGTGATGCCATCCAACCAACTCATCCTCTGTCATCCCCTTCTCCTCTCACACCACAACTAAAGAGTTTGTGCACCCTAAAGAAGATCCTGCATGCTACAATTGAGCCCTGATGCAGCCAAATTAAAAAACAAAAAACAAAAACTACTTATATTAGATGACATTGTCACAAAAGTAGATAGAAGACAGAAAAAGAAGGAAGTTGATGGAAAAAAATCCTGCTCGACGTTTGTAAATGTAATTTAAATAAATGTTTTTATAGTATATAGGACAATTCCTTCTTATTTTTAGGAAAAAAAATTCAGATGTAAGAGCCCTATGTATATGTTACTTGAACTGTATCACATCACCTCAGTGACCGCAAACTCTTTTAATTAGATTTTGTATCACGATCCAGTGCACATGTGCAAGCACACACATGCACACACACACAACCATTTAACGCTTTGTGACATGATACTTTATCACATGCAGTGCACTTAATTCTGTTCTATTCTGTTTTCTTTGTGTCTCCATCTCTCCTTCCTTTCGTACTTAATTGATCTCGTGAGCCTAGTGGGTCAGGACCCACAGTTTGTAAAAATGCCTCTCCAGGTGGGACACTCAGCTGAAGCTGACTCACATGAGATTACTCCCCGTCGTGGCCGGTGGTGGCATGTGTGCCAGGGGGAGGCACAGGTCTCCTCTGACCTGGCTCCAAGGCTCTGGGTAGCTCCTGAGTGGACCAGACAGCACAGTTCATGTGAGGGATTGGGGGGAGGGCTCCCGGGGTGACTGGAAGGGCTCAGGGTAGGTACAGAACAGCACAAACCAGGCTGAAACTAACTTGGCTCTGGGATTCAGGCAAGATGCATCCCGGGACAGCCAGCATCCCTGCTGCCTTCCTCTGGCCCATTTCTGCCACCTTTGAGGCATCTGTGCTGGTTAGTCCTTGCCGTGTTTATAGGCCCCTCAGAGGTTAGTGATGCCCTCTGCTTCAGGGTCTGGAGCTACATCTCTTCTGTGCTGAGGGGGCCAGGTGCATCACCAGCCAGCGGGAACACTGCACAAAGACCCCAGACCCCAAGGAATGAGTTGATGCCAGAGTGCCAGGTGCCTGACCTTCAAGAACCAGGAATCCCAGTGAGGAAGGGCTCGCCCCCGAGCCAGCACAGGCCCATCCACTTCCCTTATCCCGTGAATAATTCTGGGGACCAAATGTACAGTGTGTGACTGCAATGGACAATACTGTGCTGTGTACTTAAAATTTGCTGAGAGTAAATCATGAATAATCTCACAAGTACAAAAACTGATGCTGAAGCTCCAATACTTTGGCCACTTGATGCAAAGAGCTGACGCATTGGAAAAGATCCTATTGCTGGGAAAGATTGAAGGTGGAAGGAGGAGGGCACAACAGAGGATGAAGTGGTTGGATGGCAACACCGACTCAATGGACATGAGTTTGAGCAAGCTCCAGGAAGATGGTGAAGGACAGGGAAGACTGGCGTGCTGCAGTCCAAGGGGAAGCAAAGAGTTAGACACGACTTAACCACTGAACAACAATTTGAGGTGACAGATGTGTTCATTGAATTGTGGTGATCATTATGCAGTTTTGTCAAATATACCTCAATAAAGCTGGGGAAAAAGCATTTATTTCTACATTCTTACTTATGACTCAAATCGTCAGAAGGAAAACAACTTGGTATGTTTTGTATTTTGTGTTTCTGTGCAAATGACATGGAGATGACACTTTAAAACACTTGACATTGAATTCACTGAGCACATGACCAGGTCTCCATAGCCTTTACTCGGGAGCTGAAGTTCAGTGTTAATCAGAGTGCCAATGACCAGAAAAGTAAACCAAGGTGCCCTTCACAACACAGTGCTGTCCACTTCGGCCTCTGAAATCAGCCATGGTCACTTTCCCAAACTGCCTACATGCCTACTCAGCTACATCCTGTCCATTCCATCTTCTAGGTAAAAACCTGAAGTCAGAGGAAAGCTGGCCCAGCAATTCTGAGTGGTCACCCTCGCTGGGGGACCTCTGTCTGCTCTTGGCCATGGTCTTGGGACGGCTGAACTTTATCGAGTTTACTGGACATTCAGACGAACAATAAAACTCCCTTTTACATTTGAAAGGTCAAATGAAGACCAAACCAGTTACAGAAACATGTAAGAATGTCCCCCAAACTGCTCGGAACTTACTTGTAGTGTTTTGCTGTTTTTCTCTTTGTGAATTGAGACAGGGCTTGTAACATAGAGGGCTTCATATGTCTGTTAAATGAATTCACTAAAAATAACACAACTAGTATGTATCTATACCATATTCTCATTGTACCATCTGTATTATATTGCCTATGCTAATCTCTCTTGTATTAGGATTTTAACTTCCCATGACAGTTTAAATGAACTGTTAATGTGTCGACTTGACAGAGCTGACGGAGGCTCAGACAGCTGGTGAAATGGGACGTCTGGGCGCGTCTGTGAGGGTATTTCTGGAAGCAAGCAGCATTGGAATCTGTGGACTGAGTGATGAAGGCCACCCTCTCCATCGTGGTGGGCGCCATCCAAGCTGAACATTACAGAGAGGTCCATCTTCTCGCCCTCAGACATCAGCGCTCCTGGACCTCAGGCCTTAGGACTGAACGACCCGGCCTCCCGGGGCTCCAGCAGGTGGACGGTGGGCAGCCGGCAGCCAGGCTCGCCTAGGTAAGCGCCTGTCTCTGTCCACATATCCCTGGCTCTGCTCCCACTCCCCCTGCAGAGGAGGAGCTCTTACCCTCAGCCTCAGCAGTGCTCCGGTGACCCTGGGACCAGCGTGTGCTCAGGACACTGGATGAAGCCTCCTGTTGAAAAAGCAAGTGGCTGCACTCTACCAACTCTCACAAAACCTTTCTTAAGTCTCTTCACTTGATATCTGGTAGAAATCCATAACACAACGGACGTGGACGTTCAGGGGATATTCAGAGTGCTTCTTGCTTCCCGTGGGGCAGGTGCTTTCATTAACGGACGGACGAGACCAAACCCCAGCACAGACCACAACCTCCATGAGCTCGAAGCGGGAATGCCAGTGGAGGCTGGGGTCCTAACCCGTATCCATCAACTGGATGATCATCAAGCAAGGACAGTGTCAGAGCTCCCGTCAACCCAGTAGCCACGCGCAGCCCAGTCTTAGCCCTGTTCAGCGTAGGCAGCTGTGCTGTGGCCGCCTGGCTCTCTCCCACTGCTCGAGCTTCCTCACCACCCACTCACCACGGGCAGTCACCCTGCAGGCCCCTGGCCACATCAGACTACGTGGCAAGACGGGACTTCCAGAAGTGATGAAGCCCCTGGGTCAGCTTTAACCCCCACCCAAGGCTCTAACCCAGGCCTCTAATCCCCATTCTGACCTCCCAGGGTCACGGGAGGTGCACGCTCATAGTACACCATGTCCACTCACAAATCAAGGCCGGGCAAGCCCCTGCAAGAGGCTATCACTGGTGCTGGGAATTTTAGTCCCAACTTCCCCTCTGCTTGGATAACTGCCTCAGGATCCCTGGCCTCTTGGCTCCCTGACCTAGCCCCACATAACCTCCCGGTACACTTGAAGGCAGGACTGCTGAGGCCGCGTGGCGTGGAACTCCGTGGTTTGGCTTCCGGGCCTCCAGCCTCCATGCCCCTGTGTCCAGGCCCTCATCCAGCCCCTGAGGAGGACCAAGGGCCTCTTTCCATCACCCAGAAGCTGCTATTACATCAAAAGCAATTTGTGCCAGAGACAGTACTTTCTAACGGCTTAGTGTTTGGACTCAAAGGAGCACACTAGTGGGGATACCCAGAAAACGTTAGCATTTAGGTTCTCAGACCCATCAAAGCTGGCCACCTGGGGCTCTTGGTATGTCCAAGGTGACCTGTAGAGTCTGATATTCTGCAGCTAACCTCCTACTTCTCTGAAAGGGTGTAAGAATTAGATCAGCTACTGTGAAAGCTCGTGAACAGAGTAGTTGAGAATGACCTCATTCTAGCTGTCCCAACACCCAGGATTAAAAGGTTAAGAAAACAGTGTGTCCCTTTTATGTCCTTGGAGACCAGCACTTCATCTGGATTCTTGAAGGGAAGCATTTCATTTATCATGAAAGTCGATGAGTACCTTATTGACTGGACAGCAGATTAAGGCTATTAAGAACATTTGCTAAAATAAACAAGGCACTTTCGCTGGGCAGGAAGGCTGATATTGTGCATAATCACCAAGCCAGTCAACTGAAGAAGAAGAAGCCAGCCACCATGATCATGGCAGATGCCTGCAGGGAACGGCCAGCCAGGTAGAGACAGCCTTCATTCACAGACTGTAAAGTAAGTCATAACACGGAGGCAGGAACGTGAAACCTCCTTAGAGCAAGCTGGGGAATCCTGGAGTGCTGTCTGTGGGTGTCACTTGAAAAGGCTTTTATCAAGTCCAGGCGCAGCTGGGGGCTCCCTTAAGCGCAGCCAGGCAGGAAGGAGCGGGGAGCTGGGGCAAACTCCTCAGGGCCTCATGCCTGAGCAGCTTCTGCTGTGATGAAAGATGTCTGACATCTGCAGGGACCAGAGCCCCCTCTAACCCCACCCCAAACAGGGTCCTGGGAGGACAGGTAGGAGCCCCATGGCCAGTGGCAGGGGTCACACGGTCCATCCACCCTCGGGATCCAGGCTCTCCTGTGTCAGGGAGGCACTCGTTGGTTGGTCCCACTATGGCCGGCTTCCTGACTCAGTTTATACGATTCTAAGTATTGAGCTTTTGCTGTAATGTTGACAAAACACCATTTCTGGAAATGTGCTTTTCCTGTTTTCACTCAAAATATTACTGGTAGACACAGCTGTCCTGAGCCATCCAAGCCACTGATTAGTTTCCTCAACCCTCCCTCTCAAGCGCTCCCTCTCGGTTTATTAACTATTTGTGTGCTTTATTAACCCTGTGAGATGCCCCTCTTGGTGAATCAGAGCCACCTGTAGCAGCTTTGTTCATGGGCATCTTGATGCTGCAGCCTGACCAGGGTTGGAGTGGGTGAGTGGCACTGTGGGGGCGTGGGGATGTGGCTGGAGGACAAGGACACAGGTGCTGTGGGTTTGCCTCTCCAATGGCCGCGGCGGTTATGTGTCCCTAATGTCCACAGTTGGTCATGAGGATCAGCTCACCTGGCAGGTGAAGGCATGTGCCCAGGAGGTGGGGGCACAGAGCCTCTCCCAGAGCTGAGCAATCGTCCCTGCCACTGCGGACTCCGTATCCGCCAGGCCTCACCGCAGCACGTCAGAACCCAGGCCTCCTCCTGGCTTCCTCTGCTCTGAGAAGCTGGCCCTAGGGAGCCCTGTTCCCCACAAATGTGACTCTTTCTCTCCCAAGTCTGTGTGTGGCCGTATGTGTGTGCCAGCGTGCCCATCCGCCTGTAATCACGTGTGGGAGCAGACGTGTGTCCCCGGGCCCGGGCTGGCCTGCAGTGGGCAGTGGACGGGCGCAGCAGTGTAGGGCCCCCTTGGCTAGGGACTCACTAGCCGTCTGCTGTTTTACTGAGAACGTGGGTGCTCCCTGAGGGCGCAGTGAAGTGAAGCACTGTCTGAACAAGGCCGTGTTTGCGGCCCTCGGGGGCCTGATGCTCTCAGCACGTGAGGGTCTCCAGGTAAACGCAGGGTGGTGCGGTCGCCATGGCAACAGGGGTACTCATCTCCGGGTTCGCAGCCGTATTTCACCAATTTGGTGCTCCGCTAAACACAAAATAATGCCTCCTTTAATGATGCTGGGCCAGGGTTCTTAGAAATAAGGGAGTCCCCTGGAGCAAGCGCCAAAATGCAGAATCCAACCGCGGAAAGCACCTCATCACCCTGCCAGCCGGCAGTGGTTTCCACCGCGCAGAGCTTTGTGCGGACGCCCCTAAGCCACTCAGTGGGTCGTGTCTGAGCCTGGGCCGAGGCTCTCCACGCCCAGGCCAGCTGTCTCCTGTGCAGAGTGGGCCAAAGGCCCCCCGAATGTGGCCTCGCGTCCTCCTGCGCCGGCGGGGCAGCGCGGCCAGGCCAAGTCCACCCCAGGAAAGCCCGCCAGCCTCAGGGACTCGCGCTGCAGAGCACGCGCAGGTTTGCGTCTGGTCCCCGGGGGTTTCAGAGACCATCCGGCTCAGCGCAGCCCCACCCTCAACACAACAGACCAAACACCCAGAGCATCTTCTCCACCTGCCCACGGGGCCTCTCCTCAGTCACCTGCAGGACGGGGGCGGGCGCACCAGGGGCAACGAGGGGCCCGGGTCTGACCCCCACACTGACCTAGACTTGGTGGGTTGTCTGGGAGCTCCGGGGACCTGAGAACATCAGACGGCCTCCCTCTGTCAGGGTCCAGCCGCATGCCAGCCTCGGGAACCCTCCCCAAGCTGCTCTCCCGTGCCTGGGAGCACAGCTTACCTCCCACCCCCGACGTGAGCCGGGGCCCAGGACGTCAGGCGACAAGACGCAGAGCTAGGGTGGCCACAGCCACGGCAGGACAGAGGAGCCCAGCTTCTAAAGACTCGCTGAGTGAGCCTTGAAGGGGCCTTTTGTGCAGGTGAGGAGCATGGTTTCACTGAACAATGGAGTAACTTGAGGCCACCTGTCCACTAAGGAGCAGCAAGCCGGACTCCAGCCGCGTCCCTGGGGGCGGTGGCCTCATTCTGAGGGCGTGGGTGCCACCTCCTGGGCCTTTAGGGAAGCGCTACACCTGCCCGTGTGGATGCTGGCTGGAGCAGGGGTGGGTGCTGGGCCATCGGGGAGCCCCTGAGGGGCGCTTCGTGCTGACAGGTTAACATCTTGATGCGAAGGTGTGTCACAGGGGAAAACACTCCAGGCCTCTGGAAACATCCCTCTGCAGTTGGCGGGTATGTGGGACAGAGCCCTGGGTCCTGGGAGTGGTCAGCCCCTGGGGACCCCAACCCCACCCGCTGTGTCCTGGACAGAGTACAGTGGCCAGGAAGCCTGGGGACAATCAAGAGGGTTCCCAGCGAAGCGAGGGAGCCCGCGCTGCCGTTCCCATCACCAGACTCGATGGCGAGGGCGTGAAGACTGAGGCTCTCTTCCTGCTGGTTTAAGATAGACCCCAGTGGCCGTCCAGTCAGGTTCTCCCCTCTCAGCCCACTCCCTGTGGAGCTTGCTCTTGGAAACCTGCTCCACTGCAGACAGATGTGGCAGAAACACAGGTTATACGTGGTCATTGTTACCCTCACATTGTATGTGTTTGCAAACATAAGTAGGATCCCAGTCAGGAGCAGAACACGCACTTGGAGTGTGGTGCAGCCTGCAACCTGGGTGGCCCTCATTTTGTACAAAAGGGTTCCATGCTATAAACAACTGCCCCCAACCGCCAGGGGCCTGGGATCAAAGAACGTGGGTCCCCAACTCAAGAGGGAAGAGCCTCCTTGTCTATCCCCCTTTTGAAAATCCCAGTGTCTCGTGGGTCGCCTGCCCTGGGCCCAGCCCTTCTCCCCGTTTGCTCTCGTGTCTCAGAGGGAAGACGGCCCAGCCTGGAGCCTCTGCCCCAGAGATGCATCTCCTGAGGCCCTGCCCCGCAGCTGGTGGAGGGCACCGTGTCCCCTGAGGGGAGTAGTTCACCAGTGACTCCCCCTCAACTCCAGCTGGTGACCTTTTCACCCTGACCTAGTGTTCCCAGCCACCCAGGATGCCTCCCGCCAAACCCTACAGGGCGGCCCAATGTGGTCCCTCCAAGCTTGTGCCCTGAGACCTGGTGGGCAGGAAGGATGCACCTTCACTAGCAGAGGTGCATCCTGTTGTGGACGAGGGAGGCGGGGTGGGGGCCATGCCATACAAGAAGGCCTGTCGGGAAGGCTGAGCTCACAGCAGGCACAGGGGGACGGGACATCCTTTCCAGTCCTGGAACCAGGTGCTGACCTTGCTCCAGGAGACAGCTGTGTGGTGAACGAATAAATGAGTGAAGGAGTGAGTAGGCAAATGAGAAAAGTGAGGGATTGGGCAAGAAAGTGAGCAGGTGAGCAAATAAGTGAATAAGCAGTGGAACTGATCAACAAATGAATGAAGGAAGAAATGAGCAAACCGGTGAACAAGTAAATGAGGTAGAACAAGTGAGTCCTGATTCACTTCCTGTCTCCCCCTCCCCTGGCTCCACCCCTTTGGGTCCCTGAAGAGATGGAGGGGACAGCATGGCTTCTCTGAAGGTGACCCCCAGCCCTTTCCCTTGGGGCCTGTCAAGAGGAGAGTGAGGCAAGGGAGGGCTCAGCCTGGGCCCAGAGCCCCTGTCCTCTTGATCCCTGCCATTTTAATGCAGAATGTTAAAAAAAGTCCAAATTAATGCAAATCCCACAACAACAACAAAAAAATCAACATATTAAATAAAGACAGGATTACTATTCCTGATTTCTTCTTGCCTCGGGCTTCAATATGGCTCATCACAAAGCTGTCTTTATGTCAGACTTTGTTTTTTGCTCATCATGATTTTTCTGCATTAATTTTGATGTTTTGACATGTTGCATTAAGATAGTATTTATCTCTATTCCTGAAAGTGGCTGTGTCTTTCTTCTCTGTTTGGTGCCTCCTTAAATGTCACACCCAGGTGGTTCACTGGTCCCTCACTGGTCATGCCTCACCCCAGGAAAGGAGTGCTTCAGGCTACAAGACAGCAGGTGTTTTCCTGGGGTCCTTCAGGTAGGTTCGAATCAGGTACCAGCTTGCCATGTCTGGCAGGAACCCGCTTCCAGGGCTCTAGGTCACATGAGGTCAACAAGTGGTGTCTCATCTATGGAAGTATTGGAATAATAAAACAAGTTTTAAGCTACATGCTTTTGGGAAAGATATTACATGCAAAGGATCTTAACCTGCACTCAGTCGTGTTCGCCCCAGACTCAGTCAGGAGTCTGTGGTTCAGATTCATCTGCGTTGTTTGCCAGGCACTGTTCTGGGCCCCTCACCTCACCCAGTCCATTGTCCCCTGTGTCCCCATCTAGAGTTAGCATTCCAGATGTCCCAGGACAGGCACAGAGACAGAGTGTGATGGCAATGCTCTCAGCTGCCGGGTAACAGGCCACCAACCTGTGCAGAGATCCTGGGAGGAAGGCAGGCAGCCAGACCTTGTGGACAGATGTTGCAGGCCTGACCCCAGGCCAGCTGTCCCCAAGAACTCAGTGCATCTTCCCCACCAAGACAGTAACACCTGCACCCCAGGGCTTCCGAACTAGCTGAAATACAGCTGATATTCTGTTTCACAAAAGCTATGATTTTATAGAATAAAGAGCCCCTCCTCCCACACTTATTGATCACAGAGGCTCACAAACTCCCCCCAGGAGGATTCTTCCTTGGGTTGTTTTATCATTATGGCTATTAAGGTCCTTCCTAGCAAAGCACTGAAACTGTGATAGAGAAATAGAAACCCTTTCTTCCTTCATGAAGGAAAATTGTTTTTGCTACGGAATATATGAATTGCAAAATACCGTAACATAAAGATTTGCAATGCATTTCTGTCATATGGAAGAATTGAAGTTAGTCAGATTTATTTAGATGTTGACAGAAAGCGGCTGCCTTCATGCCTCGGCATGGATGGTGATTCAGATGTATTTTTTTAACTTAAAATGATGAAAAAGAGACACTTGTCAACACAGCCCTTAGAAAAGCCATGGACTCTTGGCCCCTGGGAACAGATGCGTGGGAGAAAACAGAGGAACTGACACAAGGGAAACCGTGAAGGCCTCGCTTGGCTTCAATCTGCAGGGGCTGGCGGCGGGGTGGGGGTGGGGGTGGGGCTGTCAGGATGCCCCCAGGACGGGGCCAGGGATGGGGGTCACGGGCCTCGGCACCTGGACCCTCTCCTATCCCGTGCAGATTTGAGCTGCAACACCTGGCTCCTTCTTCAGGCTCCTGCACCCACCTGTCGTAGGTGGCTAGTGCAGCTATTCTGACCTGAGCCCAGCCAGGTCCCCTGTCTGCAGGTGCAGAGGAGCAAAGCTGACGTTCAGGTGCTAAGCCAGGCTTGTCCATCGCCATGACGAAGTCCAGGACACGCTTCCCCAAAATACAACACCTTGGCCCGTGGAGTGTTTCCAAGTGAAGAAGTCTGAGCAACAGCAGGTGCCGGGGGGGGCTCTCTGGCCTCCCCTGAAGCAAGTCAGCAGTGACCCTCGCACGAGAACTGCCTCAGCTCTGCCATGAGGAGAGGAACACCCCTGTCTCCAGGACGCAGGGATCTACACTGTCCTCCATAAAGCCCCTCCCAGGCCGTGTTCTTGAGTGGGAAACCCCTCTGACTCATCTTTGGGGTACCCAAGCCCTGTTAGAAAATACTAGTGATGTCTCCCCGCTCCACACTCCTTCCTGAGTCATGCGTGGGACACTCTGGGGCTCGCAGAAGCGTTGTGGAGGAGCAGGGTCTTGGTGAATGGACAACGTCTGCCACCTTTTCTTGCTCACACTCCTCTGTCTGTTCATACAGCCCTAGGTTGTTTCAGCTGCCCTGGGAAACCTCTCACAGGAGCAGCAACAGGCACGCTTAGATCGGTGGCTTTGAAAAGTGGAAGCAGAGACTGAGAACAATAGGTGTGGAAGGGTATTTTTATCTCAGAGCCAGCTCTTTTCTCCCCCTGCTTCTAGGCTAGAATTGTTTTCCTAAATGGGAGGAAATGGAGAATGCAGATCAGTTGAGAGAAAACAAAACAAAACAAACAAAAAAAAACATTGAAATGCTGGTGGGCTCCTGAGACGGAACCCCGGCCCCCGTTCCAAGGAGAGGGCAGGATTCTCAGACAGGCGGAGGTCCCAGCGAACAGACACCAAGGCTGCCTGTCTGCAGGTCGCTCCTGGGGAGACCCAGCCCTGCGCACAGCCACTGGGGCAGAAAGACAGGTCTGAGGGCCTGGCTACTCAGGCCAGCTTAGCGCCTGAAGTCCTGTGTGCCAGGGTAGAGAGCGGGCAATAGTTTCATCTCCTCCTCCCAGGGGCAGGGACAGATGACAGCTGGACATGGAAACACCTTTTGGACACGAACTGGGGATATGGCAGTGTCAGCCCATAGCCTGACCAGGGAGGTCCCCAGAGACAAGATGCTTCCCTTTCTGAGAAGGCCTACTGCTTCGAAGAGTTTCACTGTG